TAAGGAGAAATAAAAATAAAGTTGCGAAAGGTGATCTTGGTCTCCTATTCCTTTCTTTTATATCAAAAATAATTACGACATGAGAAGGATAAATTCATTATTTAGTGTTTTTTTATCATTTTCAATTGCTAAGTCCAAGTGAAAACTCTTCTTTTTTGTTTAGAAAAGAGAAATTGTTAGAATACCTTAATCCCTCAAGATATTTAAAAGAAAGGCAAACTAGGATTAATCACAAATTACATGCTTAAACTGTTAATGCCATAAAAAATGAATAGTCTTTTCGAAGAATTATTACCTTCTATTTTTTTCTTTGGAGATTTATTGATATTGTGGTAAATTTTAAGCCCAGGCCGAATTTTTTCTAAAAAATTATATTTTTAAGCCTAGCCTATTTTTATTTGACCTTATTAATGTTGTAAAAAGGCCCTTTTTATGTCGATTTTAAAAACGGCCCGGTTAATATTTTAACCCAAATAATATTATATAAGACTAGAGATTTGGTCCTGCAGTATAGTTTGGACGTCTATTCACCAAATCTCGAGGCTTAAATATTATTATTTTGTAAACAGGCAGTTTTAAAAAATCGACCTTAATCGGTTTTTTTAACAAGATTAGACCCTCCCTGTTATTTAAAATTTTTAGCCCGACTTGGGTTTAGAAAAATATTTCAGGGGCCGGCCTGATATTTTCAAAAATCATTTTGTTTTGGCCGGCCATATTTTATAAATTATTTAAAAGGAAAATTGAAAATATATTTGATAAATGATTTCCCACTAATTTATATAATTTAAATGTATTTTATTTTAAAAAAGCATGAGAAGCCAAATATTCTTTAATCATCCATCATGTGATTTTTACACTGGTTAATTGTTTAAAAACTCGGCTCTCCAGCTGGAGTTTTATAAATGATACAAAAATTAGTTTACCTAAATATATAGGGAAAAAAATATTTATGATTGTCTTTTCTTCATAAAATATTATTCGACATTTTAACGTATATTATTTAACGCCCCATTTAAATATATTATTGGCCTTCCAAAAAAGTTATTAATGCAAAGACAATCTTTAAAACAGGTTGGGAAGGGGGGGGGGATGTTTAATACATTCATATTATTATCTAGCCACACATTTATGTTTTGTTCAATTTTTTCATAATTATATTTAGCATATATTATTCCAAAAATGAATCATCATTTTTTTTATATATAATTTTAAGAGATAGATATTAATGACTTAAATAAAATTAATCTAAAAAGTGATTTTATCAATTTAAATTATTTTTTTGACTTATTTTATTTTATAACCTTTATTTATATATTTTTTATGTCAAAATATTATTATGTCAATGATAATTTTATTTATGACAATTTTCATTTTGTAAATTTGTTTTAACAGGTCATGGTTTTTATATTTAAAAATATAATATTTGTTATTGTATATTATCATATTTTAATGTGATTATTTGGTTATTATGATTATATTAAAATTAAAGGTTTCCAAATAAATTAACTTCTTTGTATATTTTATGAATTTAAAAATGCTATGGATCGGATTTTTTCCACATAGTTCGGTCGGGTTGTGTTAGTGGTTAATTTTACTTATTATTTTTAGTAATAGAGAGACCTAAAGAAATATCGATACGAATTATATTTAGGACAATGTTGTAAGCGCGTTATTTTTTAAAATAGGTTTAACGATAGTGCCCCATATTTTTTTGAAAAGAACCTTTACGGTATCTCGCTACCTTTAAATTAAATTAATTTTAAAATCTAAATAAATATTTTTTGCATTTTAAATACATTCAACTCTCTGGTCAAAATAATTAAAATATGTCTGAAAGTGATAAGGATGAGACATATAAGAGTGATGATAACAATATAATACTAGAAGATGATCTCGGAATTGATAATATTATTATATGGCCTTTTTCCTATTTCTAAATTTAAGAGGTTTCACTAAGTATTAAAAAAAATAAAATAGATAAATTTTATACATCCAATAAATATAGTAATTAGATATATAAATCTTTGAACCATAAATATTTATTCTTTGAGATATTAAAAAAAAAATTTTTTTGTAAAGTAATCCGAATTGCTTTTTGTAACTAATAGTTATTAGCCTGCTTTTCTTTGAGAATTAACTTTAAGGTAGGAGTTGCTTTTTTTGAAAAGTAGTGTTGACAGACTACTTTTGAAAAGTAGCCCTTAATAACATTGATATAGAGGATTCAGGAGCTAACCTGCATGCTATGTATAATGGCAGATACTCATAATTTCTGAGTCAGGAAAGACGCTAATTTCGAAAGAATGAATATTATATCACATCATATTCTATATCTATGTCATGGATGTTTCTGAGTTGTCCTTAGTTTAAAATTTTTAGATAGAAAATAATTTTTGTTCTTTTTTTAGAATTTTATTTTTTGCCTCAAAAATATACCTTTCGTGTTAATCAAAATTTATATCCTATATTTAAAAGTGTCTAGGCTATCAAATAATATTTGTCTAGGCTTTTGCCTCATATTTAAGGGGTGCTAAGTAGATATTTAAGTGAACTTAAAGGCCTCCGGATAAATAGTAAAAATTAAATACAAATAATCTATAAAATGAAAGATAATAATTGTGGCCGTATAATATACTGAGCAAATTAAAAACCTAACAGCTGGTATGGGATGGGTGAAGTGCACAATATACACGAATAGACTTATTTCAGATATCCCAATAATGCTAATCATTTATTACTACTATCAATTATCTTATTTTTTTATAGTTTATAATACACTTTTATTGCATTTATATGTTCCTATAATAACAAAAAGTTAATATATTGTTTATGTTTTATCATAATCTGTGTAAATTGTTTTACACCAGGTTTTCACCATTTTCCCTTGGTAATGGGATAATATATATATAATTTGTCACTATTAGCAAAGATGATGCTAGCTCCTACTATAAAGAGGTATATAGCTAGATTTTATTTATTATATCTAATGATTAACGAACTAATGGCTATTTTATTCATATAATAACAATTATAGGAAATTATATAACGATGTATGAGTATGACAAAAAACAAATTAATTTTCGATTTAGATAATTTTTTATGAAAATGTTCTTTTAGGATTTAGATATAGTTGAGCAAACAAAATGGAGATGGTTAGTCTCAATCAAAGCGATGTCTTTTTTTGAAATATTTTATTCTAGTTTTACAAGAGAAATTTTAAAATGGTAAGTAAATATAACGGCAATGAAAATTTGAAATCGCTATTAATTCATAGAATAAATTAGCAGTGTGTTTATTTCTGCTGTAAATGTGATTAAAAAAAATTTGAATATATATGCTATAAGATGAGGAATCAGTAATATTTTTTGAAAATATTTTAGCCGGCATCTAGATTTTTTGGCTTGGGGGGGGGGGGGGGTGTTATCTTAAATTTCATTTAATAACTAAACTAATAAGAACAAATATTTTGAACGGCGACAAAATGTGCATATTATTATTTCATTTTAAACATAGATTTATTTTTAGAATAAAACGTGTCTAATATATAAATATAATTATTATATAAAATTTTAAAAATGAATTTATCAAAATGATAAAAAAATATTCTTTTATTTTTTTCATTTCTAAATTCTAAAATGTGTATGTTTTATAATATATATCCTCTTATAACAATGCTTCTGCTTTCTCAAGGAATCAGATTAAAATTTTTAAAAAACAAGAAACGTTAAAAGTCGGAAACATCATATAAATTACTGTAAGATTTCTGTTCGTAGGATTTAAAGCAATGATTATAGAAAATTATTCTAAATTCTAATAATTTATGAAATCTATTTGTAGCATTTTATGAATTATACGAAAGGAAATTGGACGAATTTCATAAATTATATGTCGTTGTTGAGTCAAAAGCAGAGTTCAATGAATTTAATATTTGTCTACCTTGATTCTCAGCAAGACAAGCCAATCATTACAATATTAATATAGGGATAGTTGAAGAATAATATTGAATACATCTCTTTATCTCTCTCTTGGATACTTTTATAATTAAAAAAATCTGCAAATATTATTACCGCAGAATTCTTCCGAATCTGTTTCAAACTTGTTAGGGAAAAAATTAAATATTTGGCAGTTAAAGTGAGAATGTTAAAGTATTCCATGATGCATTATTAGTTTAATACAAACTATGGGATAAAAGGTTAAATATGGTTGATAATGTTCCAAGATATGCTATTTTTTTAGACTTTTTCCTAATTTATAGAAATTATTATATATTTTTCTACTAATGAAAGAACATTTTCTTCTTTAACATTAATAAAAACATACCGAGCCGATTTTTAAAAACCAGATAAATATTGCTTAAGACTCGAGATTTCGCTAATAAATGTCTCTTCAGGTTTATGTAATAATATTAATGCATTTTTTTAAAAATATAATTTAAATTTACATATTAAATTTTCAACGCTAAAAAAAATTTATAGACCTTTTTTACTATTTTCGAGACATTTTATTTTATAATGGTTCATACACCTATTATGTATATTTAATATATTATAATTAATTTATATAAAATTGTCAATATTTTATAGTCACTAGTTTTAATTAATTTATGAAACTTAAGGTATTCTTAAATGGCTCCTCCTATAATAATTTTTATAAAAAAAATTAACTTACCACCCCCCCCCCCCCTCCCACAGAGAATTCCTGCTTACGCGCCTGCAATTTATCATATAATTTTATGATAATGAATAAAAAATATTAAAATAAAAATAAGAAAGGGAAAATATGAATCGCGATTTCGATCATTATACTCAAATTTGAAATAAAGATATCAATAATTTTTGAGTTTTGGTTAGGAAGCTTCACATATCACATTTTTAATATTAAGCATTAAATAAATTTATTAAATATTAACCCACCCATTCTCACTTCCTTAGTTATGTTGTTATAAAAAAAATCGAATTCCAATTTATTTATATTTTACCCTTATATAAAATTAATAGAATTATCACTGGAGCAACCAGGTTTGAATATTAACGTGATCGAAATACTTATATCTCTTTGCAAATTTTCGCCGACCGGACATATTAAAGTGCTGTCCATATTTGATCGTGACAAGGTAAAGCAAAATAAAATCCTAAAAGGTTATTTTTTTTTATTTCAATACTGTTAAAATAATATTTAATATAAAATACAGGATTGATAAAAGAATTAAATTTAAATTTATAAATGTTAAGTTTCACCCTTTTAAACCAACCGAATTATATTGCCATTATTTAAATCTGAATAGGGTTATTTAACTAATCTCTGTTTAAAAGGGGATAAAAGGTTGATGGATTGTATAGTTATAACTTTACCTAAACTTGAGCTATATTGTAAAATATATACTACAAAATAAAATCGTTATAAAATAACATTTAATCTTTCTCAATATTTTTAAACTTTTTATGTGAAGTTTTATGGCTTGGTTCATATTAAGTCTCATTAATAAATAAATATAATGTTTGGCAGAGAGGAGGGGGCAGTAGCGTTAAGGAAAGGGGCGTAGAGACTCGAGTCCTATAAAAATTTGGAGAGGCCCCTTAACATTTTGGCAATCTTGGATAACGTTAGCTAAAAAAGGTAATTTTGAAAATAATTTAAAATATTTTTTTGAACACCCTAAGATTGTTAAGGCTAGTAACGCCTCTGGTGGGTGGAGTTAAGTACCCTAAATACCTCAATGAGCAGCCATGTTTTTCAGAAACTCATAATATAAATAGAAATCCGAATAATATTTTCACCATTTTAGGTTATGATGTTCAATTTATTAAATGACCAACGAGAACTTGCTATAGGGTTTTGCAATGATTAATATATCAACTGTCCAACCTATTTTTGATCGGGTTTTTTATAAAAATGATTTTATAATTCCACTTATGATTTTATAAATTTAAAATAAAATGTATAAATAATAATCCATAAAAACCACTTATTATAAAGTGTGAGTTAAAAAAAATAAACTTGAATAATTTGATTTATAGAAATAACCTTTGTACCTTAGAGAAAAATAATATATTTTATTTTTAAAGGAGATATCTTATATTAAGGTCAGCGTGTTTATAATTTGATATATAAGGATTTCGTTTAAATTCCTCCATAATATTATATTAAGAGAGTAGAAAGTGCAAGGCTAAATAAATGATCATCTTAAAGAAGGCTTATAATAACCCCCCCCCTCCCCCTTCAAATTTTTCTCTAAATCTGTAGAAAATATTGTTAAAGAATTATTTATTTTTTAAAAAAAAGTAAACATTCGATTTCAAGGTCATTCGTGATCATCTTAGAGATCTTCATCATAAATTGAAGATTTATTTAATATTTATTATAGCGTTTCCAAATTAATACCATTTCCCTAAAAATATATATTTCAAGAATAATATCGTCCAAATTCTATATTATATTGTAGGTTACGAAAGTTAAAAACATTGTAAATTTTTATTTAAATACGGCCAAATGTAAACATGGATATACGTAGAAACACAAACGTGCAATTTGGAAACGATATATATAAAACAATATTATTTGAGCGAATCCCTGAATATTTCAAATAAAATTTGCACTTTCCCAAAAGCTCAACTTTTTTTGCTATAAAAAATATTTTAAACACTAATTATTTTCCCCCCTTTGTAAGCGTGAATAAATATGTATTGAATCTAATAAATTATAAAAAAATAATCCTTTTCAAAATGATGATTCTACTCGATTATCTATTAATTACGCGACAATTTATTGACCCGCTCTTCCCACCTTTTGACACCTTTGCAACTTTTTTTTTGCAAAAAAATAGAAAGAGTATAATTATATCTTTCATTGTTCATTTAAAAAAAGTAGTAAAATAGATAAATATATATCCGGTTTACCTGTTCAAATTATCTTTATTTTTTTTTAAAAAAAAATCATAATTTTTTATTAAAATCTTTAAAAAAAAATTTACACGATTTTTATAATGGTTATTTTTCTCTTTAAATTATCAAGAATATAAGTATTTTATATAAAATGGTTATAAAAGTTTTCAATTTTTATTCAATAATTTTCTTAAATTATATATATACCTGTAGTAATTGAAGAGTTTTGTATAACGTTTTAACAATTTTTTTAGTTATTTACCTTTATAATTTTTGGTTTTTTTTTACTTTTATATTTTGAAGACTTTATTTTCAACCCTGTATAATACGATATCATACAATGTGTGTGATATATATTAAAGATCTGCAAAAGTAGGCTCGGTCGTTCGGGCAGGGCCTATTTTTAAATAATCAGGATCGGGCTGGGTCGAGCCTAATATTTTTTAAGAAAATTCAGGCCGGGTCTGGTCGGGCCTTAGAAATTTTTTAAAATATATCTAAATTTATCAATTTTATGTTGAATTTTTTATGTAAAATAAAAATATTTGATTTTATTTATAGAAATTAGACGCCATATAACATATATCGTTTGTTTTGAGTAATTATAAAAATTTATTTCTATATTTAAATAAATTCGGACGGTAAATTTTTTCAAAAAAATTTCGGGTTCGGGAAGGGCTGGGCCGGGCAAAACTTTTTTAAAAAAATTTCGGGTCTAACCGGGCTTGAAAAATTAGGCCCGATGCAGATCACTAGTATATATATTAAAAATTATAAAATTTTTATATATAAGAATAAAAAAAAATATATTAAAAAGTATTGGTCTTTGATTACTCATCCTTTTTTAAAAAATATTTCTGAGTGATATTAAATCATTTAAATAAGAAAAAAATAAATTTTATATGCATAAAAAGAGTCCATAATTGGTTCATTGAACAAATCGAAATTAAAAGAATGATTAACCATATCACTTCATATTTACCTTTCTACCATATTTTTTTGAAATTTTACAGATAGGGCATCCTTATAGCTCTTATGATTTGTCACCTTCTTCCTTATCCTAAGCGTGCTCGAATAAAAAATATTTTATTCCCTTCTAATAACTTATTTGCTTCTCTCCCGGGCCGCCATTTTTTTTATATAGAAGAGATTGATTTTTTAAAAAAATGGGATAGCAAAAAGTTAAAAAAACCAGGACCGGGAATACATTGAATCCTGGAAAATAGCTAGCCTTTGATTCTGTTCATTAAACTCTAAAAGGGTTGAAAAATGCATAATTATACCATTTATATGTCGTATTGGGATAGGGAATCCATGAGGATTCGGATTCTTTCAATCTTGAATCAATTAATGAAAACTAAATGTATTCTAGCACGTATAAACCAACGCTTTAAATTTCAGACAATTTTGCCGTTAACTTTAAACTAAGTTTAATTTATCTTCATTTTTATAAAGTATTTTTCATATAAATTAAAAAATAACAACATTATTAACAAAAATTACAGGGTAGTTTTATACATTATGCAGGACTGCATTTTCGACCAATTCAAATTTCCCAAATTTAAAAATTATACGACATACATAATATAAGCAGGGTTAGAAACCTAAACCATAAAATGTTCTGGTTCTAGTTCCTTATATGTAGGTTCCTGTTCTTAAATTTGACTCAGTTCCCGTGGGTTCAAGGTTTCGGTTCTGAACTCTGAATATAAGACATATTATTTTTTTAAATACCAAATAAAACATAATTAAAACCCCTATTTTTAAAATATAAAATATCAATTTATTTGACTTTAAAATTGTAAAAAATTTTTAATTATTAAAAATAATTTTAAATTTATTGAAGTTTGCCTTTTGGGGCTCACTAAAATATAATTTTTATTTGTTTCAAATTAAATTATACTGTGGTTATTTTTATTAAAATTTAAATATTTATTTTAAAGAAATCGAATCTACTTAAACTTAATGAATAAGCTGAATGCGGGTAAAATAAAACCAAGATAAATTGGCATGGTCTGCAAAAACAAATAAATAGGAACGGAATGGCAGATAGATTGATGTAAAGAAAAAAGAAGGGTATCGGGAAAGGAGAGGAACGGTGTTAATAAGAGAATAATATTTATTCTACATTTTTTTTCAAAATTAAACTCTTAAATGTGGACAAGCATAATGTCCTTAAGAAATGCTTTAATTTATTTTTCTAATCTCGATCATTTACATTACATTATTTGTAATAATAATATAATAGATTATGGGAAAGGTTGATGAGAAAATAATAGGAGAGTTGCATGCTCATTCTATGTTAAATAAATTATATATGTAATAAAATAAGATTTAAGATAATTGATGGATGAAGCAAAATTTTTTAAAAAAATTTTTTAAAAAAATAGTAGATAAAAATTTTAATTTTTTTTTTAAATTATGAAATCTAATAATTTTTTATTGAGCCTATCTCTTTATAGTAAATGATTATGATGACATTATTTTTTTTCCCCATATAAAAAGCAGGTAAAGCTCGGTATTATTTATTAATTTCACCTGAGATGAGACGAAATAAGAGAGAAAGAAATCAGAGAAAGACAGGTAAATATATGAAAATGAATATTAAAGGAAAGGAATATATTAAAAATATTATTTAAATAATTAATAATGTAAAATTAATAAATAAATATTTGATATTGTTTGTGTGTTCGCGAAAATTGTTAATTATTAAGTTCATTGTAATGTAGTTTAAAACAAAAAGAAAAACAAATTCCTAATCTTATCTACCTCATAAAATAATAGAGAAGAATTATGAATTTACCTCTTGAAGTGTTTAATCAATTGCTTTTTATAAAATAATTTTAAATTGAATATTAACGTCTTGTTTACCTGATTGATAATTAGATTTCGAGGCTGCTCTGATATTATTTTAAGCAATACTTTTACTTGTTTTAAAAATGTTATGAAAATCGGACATCGCAACTTATGCTTTTTCCTATATATTGAGATATCGGATTTATTTAGTTTATTTTGATTAATTATATTTATCGTGTAATAACGAAGATTTTTCTTTCTAATTTAACTATTTTTTTAACAAAAATCAGGTAGTTTATTGATTCATAACTAACCGACGATTATATTAAAATAATTATCCATGTCACACTGATATTATTAATTCATTAAAAAAAAATCGAGTTTCTGCAGAGATTTATATTTTTCATTCATAGTCATTTTTAATTTTAAAAATAATTTGTAAATATTTTTTTAAAAAAATTAATAATTCTCTTTTCATTATGCAAAATTCTTTGGAATTTATCATTTTAAAAGTACCATCTAGGAAACTTCTTATAAGATATTTAACATAAAATTATTATATAAATGTGAATTGAATAAGATTGGGATATGGAATTCAAGGAATCTCAATTTTTTTAAAATCATCTACCGAGAATTTTTAAATTTAAAAAATAGGATTTTTATATGAAATCTATTCCTGCATGTGCATAGTACTTACATTTTAATTTTCAGATAATTTTGCCGGGAAATTTTGAAGTACTCTTATTTTACATCAATTATTATATATAGATTTTTCATATAAATAAAAAAATACACAAAAAGTTTAAAGCCAAATTTTCTGAAATTCACGGTGTGTGAAATATGTTTTCGATCAAATTCGATGATTCAAATTTACAAATTGTAGTCAATGAATAATTTAAGATTGAGAGATTCCACATCTCCCTTAATTCCATATCCCAAAACAGCATATACAAAAAAAACACATAATTAACTAACATTGTATGTTTCAAATAAAGTATTTTTATTTTGTCATTTAGTATTTCCATAAGAAAACAAAGATTTTCTGGAATAATTAAGAGATTTTAAAAAAATTAGGTTCTCTTTTAGGGTATTGCTTTGGAGAAAAAATACCAAGAAACGTCTTCTTTCATATAATTTTTTAACAAGAATTAGTATAATTGATAAAGTATATTCCATCTTTATTCGCGAAACTAAATGTTCTCTGAGGAATGGAATGTAAAAAGGAATGGAATGTAAAATATTTTATTTTGTTAAAAAACTTAATCCCAATCACTTTGAAATAATTTTTGATCCTGACAAGATGTTTATTTTCATTAATTAAAATAAATATTTATATATTTCATGAATATTATTATAATTTTATCATTTTTCTTTTTGGTTAGTTAAATCTAACCTTTTTTCTCTCAAAGTTTGATTGTAAAATATTTTGTAACACCGGGCAGGGCATGAACGGAATGAATTACATCGTTAACTTAAATAAATTTATTACATTAATTAGTATTATAGAATCATAAATTCAAACATTTATGGTATATTATATAATTTCTTTTCATTTCGATTTGTCAGTATTATTCGTTATGTATCTTAAGCCGTTTTGCTTTTTCTATTCTCGAAAAAAATAAAGCAAATATTTGCCTGTCTATATATACCACCCAACTTCATATATATTCGTCCACTCGCAATTTCAATTTTTATTTATTAATATAGTGTCATATATGGGACAAAGAAACCATGAGGATTTGGAATCTCTAAATTTTAAATTATTTACCGAGGGCGGTTTTTAAATTTTAAAAGTCTGATTTTACTGAAAATGCATGTAAGATATCTTCACCATTTGGAATATCATTTAAAAAAAAGAAAAGATTACCGTCTTTTAAATACACTTATTGGATCCTGAACAATAAAATACACTTTCCTTTTTAGATGAATCCCTCTTGGAAATGAACTATGGTATTGATAAGGAGAGTGTAACAGAAATAAAAATGAATCCTTTCACATTGATTGATTAAAAAGAGCTGTTAGATATCCAGGGGATTTAAAAATATAAATGATGCTGGAAATCTGACCTTACCCCATGATTAACACCTTAAATTATTAATAAAATTAGATCAAAATTTTCCTAACCATCAATGCCTTACTTCCTGATAGTGTTGTTAAGCGGCTCGATTTTTATAAACGGCTATCTCAATATTTTACCCAAAAATAATACGCAAGTCTGGAGGGAGACTTTACTCAAATGTACATAAAAAGTTGTACATTTACAAACGAATTCAAGGTTTGCATAATATTTTTTGGCAAAAATATTGGGTTAGCCGTTTTTAAGACACGAGCCTTTTGACAACACTACTTTCTGATATAGCATTTATAATTCAATATGATTGAACATCATATCATACTGCAAAATCCAAAATCGACTAAAATGGTTGTCTGAGATTTAATATTTTGGATGGCCAGCAATGATGGGATATCATGGAAAAAAACAATTTAAAATCTGCCGAAGCTAAAGAAAATTATAGAATATATGAAATTTTATTATATTGGAATCATACGGGGATCTCATAAATACAATGGACAATAAAACTGTTGTAAAAGCAAATAGGGATGTAACCAAATATTAAATTCAAATGAACGACTATTTATGTATGGACGTAATTTATAAAGCCCTTTTATATTTTATTTTTTATATAAATCTAATTTTATATTCTCTATTAACATATTAAAATATTTTGTTTAAATTATTAATTATTATCTTTATCGAAATTTTAAAATGTATAAAATTGCAAAGGACGAATATGCAAATTCAAATATAATCGGATTTATTCCTTATAAATAATTTGGTAGGCAGCTCATCTAAATATGAAATCATATCTTTATCACCTGAGAAGATGTATGATAATTCAGCATTAAAATATCTTATTTGATGTTTTTACTAATATATAAGATCAGAACTGAAAACGTTCTTTTAGATTATTGGTTCTTGCATTTATTTTTGCACAATCACCAAGAATTTTGGTCTAAGGCATATCTGAGTCTAGCGCCTATTTCGGTTCCAAATGTAAATTAAATTTGAACTCTTAAAATATGAGGACAATTATCTGATGTTTAAATTTCTTAGATTTTATCTTATTTTTAAAGTGTCTAACCTTAAAATTACAATGTCACATATTCAAAAATTTTAATTAAAATCATATATTTGGGAATCGTTGAGAATTTGAAGGTTTTTTAAAAACAGATGATTCGTATAGGTGGTCGTATAACAACCGACTCATTGCCTGATCGAAAGAAATAACTCATTGAACCTATATATTTTATTTGGAAGTTTCCATTTTTATGTGACTTTTTACCAGACCAAATGCCTTTACTGTTAGATAACTTACATAGAGCCAAGAATAAAATAATAATTTAATAGGATTTTATCATGGTTAGTAAAATTGTTGAGGGAATGGATCATATAACACCTCAAGGTAAAAGTCTTAATTCCATTTGAAAAGGTAGATTAAAGCATTATATATATCTTTTAAGTTAAAAAGAAAATATTTTTGTAAAAACTTTATATAATTGTTTAAAAAAATTCCGTTAGAGCCTGGCTGAAATCGTAGCTTTATGTTAAAAAAAATTGATTTTTTTTTATTAACTAATTTAAAGGTCACATAATATAATTTTGTAAAACAATAATAATAATATTCTAATTAACTCCCTTATATTAAATGCGAGATTGAATAAAATCCTTGGGAAAAATGAAAAGATTTTTTAAAATATTCATTTAAATATGATTTATATATCCCCCTTACTTATACTTATTGATGTGCACTTGTTAACTTGTTGTTTAAATAAAAAATTTAAACAAAATTGTTTTACTCCAAAATTTAACATGGAAACGCGAAAAATTGGTAAAAATAACAAAAAATTAATTTAATCTATAGGTAGACATGGTTCGTCAGAATATTATTTGCAATAAGAAGGATAGGTTGTTAATGTTTACGTATGATTAATAAATTGAATTCTTTACCTTTTCTTTTATGTAACAAAGTTCATCAAAAATATTTTTAAAAAAATATTTTCACTAAAGTTTTAGCAACATAAAATAAAAATTGAAAATGAATTTGTAGGAGTTACAAGGTTATAACTATCGTTTTCAAGGACTTGTGAAGGTACTCATTTCGCCTCATTCTTCTGCGCAGGAGAAGCAAGCACTCATCACATTAATAAATGCCCTAATTACATCGCCCCACAACATTTCCAATAAAGTTTCGATTCGCGACGAATTTTTAGGTACGTGTATATATATATATTTTTTAAATATTCATATAAGTACCCTGCAGATCGACCCGAAATCGGGCCCGCCTGGAAGTTGGATTCGGGTTAAGAAATTATAAACAAAATTGGGCCTGGTCGGGCCTAATAAATTTGGTTCGGCTTATGCTCAATTAATATTAATTTAAAAAATTGGGTTTAAAAAAGAATAAAAAATTTGGGCTGAGCTCGGGTAAAATAAATGGAATTCGCAGGGTCTATCTTATGATATCATTATGTTATCCTAATCCGTAAGGTTTTAGAATGATTATCTTAAAATACGGAAAAAACTAAAATTAATGATAAATATTTAATTGCCTTTAAAACTGAAATCGATGATTAATACCTGTATTTAAATATTTTTTTTAATATCTAATCTTTCGATCAAACACTGAAGGACTCAGAATTCTGGATCATTTTAATCATATAAAGTAAATTTCTTCATTCCATTTTTACATTTTTTTTTTAATATGATTTTGAATTTATTATGATATCAAAGCATAAAAGCACCGATGCCACATTTTTAACCGTTTCCTAAGTCGGTAATAATACGGTATCAGCCCGATAACACCGATAGGAAACTTATAGTATATTGAAAGAGAGGCAAAGTTATAGTTCAATAATTATCATTTTTAAAAATTTAATTAGCATTATTTTATTATATATAATAAAAGTAAAAAGAAATAGGAAAAATTTGACATCACTTTCTTCTTCCTTATCAGTTTAGACATTTGGTACCACGTGTCGGTGCATCTCTACACTGTGCCCCAATTGATCTCATACTCTTTTTGTTTTGGCAATAAATCTGTCAATTCTAAAAATAATTCAAAATTTTATAGATTGATAAGGGGAAATTATCAATATTTTCTGCAAATTCCATCAAATTTTATCTACAGGCTTCAAAGTTACGCACATTCAATGTTGGATAAACAAAATTCGAACTTTCCAACATGTAAAAATTAATATCATTTTTTATTATTATTAAACTTTACAATTCAATAAAAAACATGAAAAATCAACATTTAAAATTAATTTGAGTCAAATGTTGTTCCTCAAAACTGATACTCAAAATTCCCGCCATTAGCTCGAATACATGCTCTAAGGTGTCGCCATACAATGATCTCATGATCAACAATTTATTGATCAAAACGATTATTTTGAATATCAGCTTTAAAGAACAATATTTGATTCAAATTAATTTTAAATGTTGATATTTTCAAGGTTTTTTTCGAATATAAGTTTAATAAATAAAATAAATTACATGTTGGAAGGTTCAAATTTTGTTTTCCCAACTTTGAATGTGCATAACTTTGGACCCTGTTGATAGAACCCAATGAAATTTGCAGAAAATATTGATAAATTATCTCTCTACCAATCTATAAAGTTTTATTGAATTATTTTTAGAATTGACAGATTTAATCCCAAAAACAAAAAGGGTTAATTGGAACACAGTGTATAATAGTATGAATATTTCCTTTAAAAGCCTGGGAATTTTTTTAAACTTTTAAATTGAGTATTTTTTGTATTTTTGAAAATATTCTTATGTCGACAAGTTCAATGATTATTTTTTAAAACCACAATTCATATTTTTATTAGATTGACCCACTCTAGCAACGACAGTTTGCTATCTCAAATCGCATCCTTCAAAGCGCAAATGACAAGTGACGAGCAAAATATAAATTTTATTAAGGATATCGACATGAACAGTCCTTTGGAAGTTTTCAATATTATTCTTCGCCAAGTTTTAATTATTTTTGTTTATATAATTGTATTACCAAAAATATATATGATAAATTATATTATCATGTTAAGCATTTTTTCAATGCAGCCCAGGTGTCTTCCCTAGGCTTTTCATTTTACCAGACACGGGTGGCGCTCGTTTTAAAATTTAAATGCTACAGCATTATTTTCTTACATTTTTATGCTTCTAATCTTTTCGTAACTAACAAGTTATTTGTTAGGCTGCATCCAAAACTTGCTTCAAAACCTTTGTAACTTTAAGGCACTCGAACGTTAAATTTTGAAAATTCAAAAAAATATTTGCCCACTTTTTTGATTTTTCATTTTAAAAAAAGGAACATTATTTCATTATTTTTAAAGCAGTCTAAATAAATAAAAGAAATGATAAAATTAAAGGGCACGAATTATTGGAAGTATTGCCTAGCGAAATCTTGAGGAATCTCTTTTACAATAAATAATTTAGAGTAACCCTAGGTTACAGACCTTCAGCTGTGACCTTCTTCAATTACAATAGAATTAACTGTAATCTCACGGTAAACGTGAAAGGAAGACACAGATAAAAATGCATCAAACACCAAGGTGAGCAGCAACGCCACTTTTAAATTAAAAAAAATATACCTTTTCTTAAAAAATTTCGTATTTTCAACATTTTATTATTTTGCATCCTATCCAAGACGGGTTAACACCTTACCATTTGATATATTCTTTGTTCCACACGTAAATACTTAATTTGGGACTATACAGTCTCAATCTTTTTAACCAATGTTAACAGCAGCCTGCTTTAGAAAATTTTATATACAACTATTGTTCCTTTTTTATTGGGGCCAAATTATGATTATTATAATATTTTTTTAGTTTTATATATATATATATATATAGTTAGAGCGGTGCACCGGTAAAACTATCTGTGGCCATCGTGATGCTTAGAAATCAAATCGACGCCAGCTTTTATGCCACTGTCATCAAAGGCTGCGCGAATTGGGGGCAACAACATAATTTTTTTAAATAATATATGCATTTATTATATTTTTATAAATTTTTTTTTTTTTTTAAAAATGCTAAAAAATTATTAAATAAAAATAAATTGTATACTAGTAATACTATATTTAATACTTTATTTTAAAAAAATTAATTATAAATTCAATTTTTCAATTTTATAGTCATCATGTATATAGAAATAATTTTATTCAAATTTACCAGACATAGATAATCTGAATATAATGTCAACCCAGCGATAGAGAAAGCTCTTTCATTAAGTGTGCAAGTTTCTGGAACACAAAATTTTTTTATGTAGCAGGGAAAGGTGCTGAAGTTTGATCCTCTTTAAAATTTTGACTATCTATATCCTTCGGAGGACGCCCTCTGATGTTTTATATTTCAGAGTAGTTTAGGCTGGATCCATTTTCTTTTTTTATCACTTTCTGTAAGATTAATCTCACCTGTATGTTTTTGAGTTAGGTATTGAGTTAGAGTTGTAGTATAAATGTGATATAATTTTTTCTTCTATACATTGATTGTTCCACATATTAAAGTGTGGTCCCATGTATCTTGTTATTGTCAGTGTCATCACTAGCCTTTACAATCTCTGTTAACATTTTCAAGATGACATTTTTTAGCTAATATTATTTACAAAATTACTTTTTGTAAAAGTGTTTTTTAAAAAATTTAAATTTTTCAAAGGGCTTGAGCATCTCTACCCCTGCCCCTTTGCGATTATCCATGTTACCCTTTGACCCGCGGCTAATAACGTTTTTATAAAACTAAGATAAACATTATTAAAGCTGCACGGCTTATTATATTGTCTTATCTGGCAAATCAGAAATAGAATTGATGATATTATATTTCTAAAAATTATAAAAAATAGATTAAATTTTTTTATTATTTATAAATATAATATTTTAAAAGTGGTTTAAAAAATGAAATTTTTATAAAATTTTTTATAAGTTTACCAAATACTATATTTTCTATAGTTAAACTATATTATTCAGATAATTTTTTCTATTTAAAAAAAAAATAAAATTGACGAGCACATTCATCAATAATAAATCCATTGTTTTATTTTTGGAATGGGAAATTTTCAAAACTGTGAAGAAATACTATCTACTCACAGTATCCAATCATGGGAGTTACCATTTTCAACAGGGGATTGGAAAATGGAATTCCATTTAATTCATCTATTTATGGTTGTCAGATAAAAGGAATAAATGAGGCATATATGGAAGAAAATATGGAAGAAATTTAAATACCATTATTAAATTTGTTATTATGTGATTGTCATTTTAAATAAAACACGCCCCACTATAGAACCGTTTTTTATTTTCCCCCAAGACGGGACGCGTCCAAAGGCGTTACCTAGGAATACGCGTCCCCGTCTGTCCTATCCTAACTTGTGGTCTTAAAATTTATCAAATTATTTTTATTTATTACAAAGTTGATGATGTTTAATTATGTTTCATGAAAATGGATTACTTTTATGTTTAAGCATAAATAATATGTTAATGTTTTAAATGAATGTATTTTATAGATTTTTAATTATTTATTTATGTATAGCTATTAATTATAGAGTTATATGTCCATTTTTGGTGGAAATTGAGTTAGGACCTAAGTAATTGAAATATTATTTATAAAACACTATTGTTCCATTTAAGCCACCAGTTGATGCAATTTTTACTGATAAGAGATTCCTTCTTGGTGAAAACTTTATTATTATCAAATAATTACTTATTTTGTAAATATTTTATATTGTATCGGTATCGAATTACAATATTAGAATATGTATCAGTGTCAGTTCCAATATGTTTTAAAAGTTTTGTTAACAAGTCTAGTATATTTAAATTTGAATGAAAAAAAAATAAATTAATTCTTAATATTATCCATTAGTATTTTTATTTATTTCACTTTAAATTATCATAGGTCGCTGGTACCCCCCAAGAGATTGTCTTGTTAACTATCCTTCAACACCTTCTCCTTATCAATTCGGACCAACTGCCCCCTCCTCTCGCTCCTGTTTCTCTCAATAAGAGCCTTCCAGTTTGGGAACGTGTTTCTAAAGCGGTTATAACGACCGTTCAAGACCAACTGATCTCACCTCCTTACCCGGTTAATTCATATAGCTTGCATAATTGCCCACCCGCACCCCCACCTCTACCTTCTATTCCAGCCTTACAACCAATTTTACCCATAACCACTCCTCTTACTGACATAAATCATAACAGACCTGTCCCGCCTCCACCTTTACCCGCTCTATATAGCCTGCAACCCTTACGATCATCCAATGTTACCCTTTCACCCGCAGCTAATAACTGTTTTATTAAGCCGCCTGCTGTCGACATCTTTCTTAAACAGCAGCGCTCGAATTATGGCCCTTCTGATCCACATCCATATGACTCTTCCCCCTTGACCAAAACGTTATCCCAAACACAACAACCGTCCATTAAAGACCGTCCGCTACCCCAACAATTGACACCGGCCCCCCGTGCCAAACTAAAAACCCTGAACTGGATTCGTATTCCTCTCATGAAGATCCTATCACACCCAGAGGGCAATAACGTATGGACATCCCATCGTAAGCATAAAGACTTGGCCCGTTACTACGATATCGACTTTAGCTCCCTCGAGGAACTCTTTGTCTCGCCACATCTAGACGATGAGTACGATGGCGGGTCCACGGGCAAAGGTGGAACCAGGAAAAGCGACTCCCCTATGTCAAATCGTTACTCTGAAATGAAGAGAATGAACGAAGTTAATATTTTTGATAAAGATGAGATATGTTGTGATTTTATATTCCTTCCTTTTTATATCAGTTTGTAATAAATTGGAGCATAATAGTGTAGCAAGGAAATCATAGAATTTATAATTATGTATATATATTTCTAAAACACTCATTATAATAGAGATATATGAATATTTGACTTTGTAGGATGACATAGATGTCCCTGATAAAAACACTCAAGACAAAAAGACGGACATTAATATCGGGAACCACAGGATAAAAATGCCCTAATTTTAACAAATTTTTAAATGGTTAAAGGGGGGATTTTTTAAAAAAATGATAAAGGACGTATTTTTGGTAGATAAATATGCAGTCTAAAGGCTATATGTTGGCAAGAGTTAGTTATAAATACTCTATATGAGATGGTTAAGGTTAGAATAATCTAAACCTTTCTTAAATTACTTGTTTACAATTTACAAAAAAATAATGCAAAATAAAATCTTAAAAAATGTATTTATAATATTTATATTTAAAATAAAGGATTTGCCTACATATCTTATATTCGCCAGGGAGCATGTTGTTTTTTATAACTATCCTAAAATATATTTCTTAATGGAGATAGAACCCTATAATAATCAAACAGCAGCAAAGCATAATTTTACACTTAGCTTACTTATCTCGATATTGGCTATAAGGTCTGATATATGCATGAAATAGCTAAGTTTTGAATAGAAAAATAATAGAATAAAACAAAGGTGATCATCTTTTGATCATGACACCTATTATAAAGAAATTTATTTTTTGTCCTTGTATTTTTGTTCGGGATATTTAAGTCTAGGATTCGTTTGAAAATTATATTTTTCTCTATTATTTAATGCTCGTTTACAATTCAGGAATAAGAATATCTAAAGTTTAGAAATCATAATAACCTATCAATTTTATAATTAATATACTTATATAGATATTGTTATTGGAACCCAAAAGAAATCTCAATATCAGCATTTACCTCAAACAATTTAAGAAGTATGAAAGAATAATAAATATATTTGCGCTAGTGTATAGTGGGTAGGGAAGTAATCACAATTTAGATAAAATAAAATATCTATATTTTAATGGTATTCCATTTTACACTAGTTTATCATGCCTTTTATCTCCTGTTTTTATTTTATCCATTTGTAGCCTTTCTTAGTCTTTTATCTTAGTCCCCCTTTTTAAAAAATATATAGTGATATGATTATAATATATTGTAAATTTGAAATAAAAAATATTCTACATAAATTTTGTATTAATCAATAAATCTTATAATTCTTCTGAATAAATATCACTTTTTAAAAAATAAAATATACCTTTTTTTAAATTTTAAAGGTAAACTTATGCATAGCATAATAATTTAATTTGACACTCACATATTTTTGATTAGTTATCTTTAATCAAATTTCAATTAACTAAATTAAATTGAATTTCTATAACCTATTTTTCAGAAAAATAGAAAAAATTTATTATTCAAAATAAGATTCCCTGATATTAAACTATACACTATTGTAAAATGAAAATTATACATTAGCGCCATCCAAATTAAACTAAGTTTTATGCCTTTATATATTATATACCATTTATAACAAGTTTTAGAGTATCGTAAAAGAAATTTTTTATTTTTAAAAAAAAATTAAATAGTGGATACGAAGAAGTTATAGCGAATATAGAGGGCGGTAAAGGAACAAAAATTGGCGTAGAAAAACTTCGCGGGCTTTTGAAATTAATTCCCGAGACCTACGAAGTAAAATAAAAAACAGCACTATTACTTTTAATATTTGATTTTTTCCTATTATATTTTTTTATACGAGTTATCACTATATCTTCCATTATTTTATTTATTTTTAATAATCAAATAATCAAATATGGCAGACATAATCTTCTTTATTCCTTTTTTTAAAAACATTATAGACCGAAATGTTGAAAGGGTTCGAAGGCGATTTTAACAAATTAGGTGTGGCCGAAAAGTTTTTAAAACGATTGATTCTCATTCCCAAGTTTGTACATTTAAATCTTTCTTTTACCCCCTATTTTGATTATTTATTATAGAAAAAATTTATTCATTTTTTCTTTCACCCCTAATATTGTTAAATATAGTGGCTAGGTCTCAAAATTATAAATTTTTTTATCTATAATCACCGGATAAATCTGAATTCATAATGGGCGTTGTATTACTGATTTATTTTATTTAATATTAAAAAATTTACAATAAGATATATTTTGATTATAAATATTTAAAATAAACAATATTTATATTTAAAAATTAAACATATATATTTTATATGCAAAAAAAATAATCCTAAATTAAAAATAAATTTTATCGTAACGAGAAGAATAAATATATAACCCTAAAATATGTAATATGCCGCAAAATTAAAATTTAACTTTTATAATTCTCTCGTCCAATAATAAAATTTTTGGATTCCCTGTAAAATTTAGTTGATTTATGGAATACGAATTAAAATAATATGAATATAATATTGTAAGCTATTTATAAAATATATTTTACATGTTTCAATTTATTTCGTTGTTTACCTATCACAAAAGCTACCAATTGAGGATAGAAGGCTTGCTGCTAAAAGAAGATTTTATCAACAATTTGGATGATATTTTACCTGCCCTAGATTCGCTAATTTACACAGCTCAGGGTATAAAAGTTTAATTATAGTTGTTATAGAAATTGTAAAATCTCCTTCAAATAACCCAAAAATTCTATTACTTTTTTTTATTTTAGATATCAAAAATTGTTCACTCTTGCACGAAATACTATTGTTGACGGTATACGTGGGAAATTTTATCAACTCCGTAATTTTTATCCTATTCATAAATTTTATATTTCGATAATTAGTTTTTCAAATCTCATAATAATTAGGGAATTTTGAAGTGGTTTTTTTATAATCATATGCCCCTGGAAAACTGTCATTAAAAGGAGAAAAGCCAATTTTTAATACTTATATAATTCCTAGCTAGCGTCTTTTAATTTTGAAAGATCTGATTTTTCTTGAATCGTATTCCAGAATGTATACAATGAAAGAAAAAAATATTTATTCAGTGTGAAATTGTGTGAAATTCACAGGGTTGGTGGCGATAAACTATCTATGTTGAAATACGATTCGACAAAATCAGATGTTTTCAAAATTGAAGAGAAACAGCTATAAAAGTTTAAGAATTTTTACTAAAACCCCGGATAGAAGCACATCCACTAATTTGCTAAACCTCTACGCCGTTTATATTTCTTTTCTTCCCGTTTAAAACATGATAACAAATTTAAAGGAAATTTATAAATATAAAAAGTTAGGAATTTAGATATTGATTAAATGTTAAACAAACTTTGAACCAAACAATTTTTATAAAATTCGGTATACAAAACCGAGAGGTATTACTGACCAAAACCTAAGATCGATGGGGCCAATTTAATGGAATCAACCATGTCTGATTCTATCTAAACCGAACTTTTGACCATATTATTCATTTAATTTTGCCTTGGATAAACATAATTCGCGTAGGGTGGTTACGCTGGTAATGCTGCTGGCATAAGGTTGACTTCACTGCTTAAAATCTCGGAAATCAGAGGCAACAACCCTAAAATTGGTTTGATCCATTTTGTTGCCGAAGTAAAAGAAATTAATTATTCTAACTAACTTATTTTTTTTATTTGAGCAACAAGCCTAAAAAAAAGAAAGAAAGAAAGAAATTGCAATGTGAGTTATGATATTATTTTAAAATAATCAAAGTAAATTTTTAAACAATGTTTTTTATGTTATAAAATTAAATTATTTGAAATCTTTCCCTCTTTAAAGCAATTAAATAGACTCAATATTCAACCATCAAGATTAGCGACCGAAATAAAATTTTTGGAAAAAGCTCAAAAGTAAAATAAATAAATTAAAATGGCATGCTATTCTATTGTATAATGTAGAGACCTTCAATCCCGACGCGGAGTGAGCCGTGACATTATGATTCTAAAAGTCCGGGTCGAGCTTGAAAATAAAAATAAATTAAAAAACCCGAGGCTATTTTTTTCCCTAAAAAACCTGGGCCGAATTTTTTAAATAAATCTAAATTATATCAATGATCTAGTTGGAAAATTATATAATAATTCTTTCGACGTTTACTGCGTATATTTTAATTTACAAAATGTTGCAAAAATTATTTAAAATGAATTTATAAAATCAGCCAGACAAAAAAATGATCCTGAGCTGGCTTAAAAAAAATCTGAGCTGGACTAAAAATATTTTTTTGAAATCAAGACCGAACTTGAAAATAGGACAAAATTCAAATCTAAGACGGGCCTAAATTTACGAGTCTCTGATATATTTCAAAACTTTTGTAAAATTTTTTAATATGATTTTTGTTAAGAATTAACATGGAATCTCTGATATTGGATATATCATCTCTGACCACGAAATGTGGAAATTTATCTTCCCAACTGTCAAAAGCCGATGGAGACCTTAAAAATATGTTGGAAGATTTTCTCAAGGTTTATAAATGTTTTGTGCACATACACTCAATATCATTCATATAATGGACCTAATTGCTAAATGTGATATTTAAATTTTCAGAATTATTAAAAGATAAGCATATTAATGACTCAATCAAAACACTATTTTTTTTTAAATTAAAAAAAAATAATAAATGATGAAAAAAAATTATTTAGTACTAGAAACTTACAAAATTTTTGTTTTTATAGTGGTTTTTAATAGAGGATTTATGTTCTTGTAAAGGCATACTGTGATATTACCCCTTCCTACTTATGATAGGTCTATTTCTTTGACCAAATCATTTCCCTATTTTATTAATACTTTTCGATGATCCTTATTTTTTCTAACCCTTTTTCTTTTATATTGTATTTAATTTCACAATTGTAGTTATATGATATTTATATTTTTTTTTAAAAACGTAAATTTTAGTATGCTAAACAAGAGATGGATTCGATCCAGAAAGATTTGGTAGAAATAGAAAGATGGCGCATCATTTTGGCTGATTTTTTCTGCGAGGACAGGGCTACTTTCAAGCTGGAAGAAAGTTTCAAGATATTTTATAACTTCTTAGAGAAACTCAGGAAAGCAGAAGAGGTTAATAATGTTTCCGTTGTATATCTATTTTTAAAAAAATTTATTCGGCATCTACTATCATTATTATCTTTAGGCTCGCGACACTGTTACAATCTAAATCTACTCAATCAAATTTATTTCATTTTGTGATGTTATTACATATGATATACTATATGTATATGATTATTTATCACATATTTTAGGAAAATATTATAAGGAAACAAATCGAAGAAAAGCGCAAAGACATGAAATTAAAAGAAAAACCTATCCAGAAACCGACCGACCTGGCTATAAAAAATAGTAATTATTTCATTTTTATTTTTTGGTGATTAAGTATAGTTAATATAAAGTTGTATATAAAAAAATTATTCCCAGTAGAAATTAATTTTTCTGAAAAAATTAAAAATAAGAATGATGGAGATGGGAAATTCTTTTTCCTTTCTTTTTTTTAACCCTTATTTCCCATTCCAGTGTTGCAAAACGGCTCAATTTTTAAAACGTTTAACTCGATATTTTAGTCAAAAATATTATACACGCCTGGAAATCTTGTCCATAGATAGCTGAATGGTTTGGATATCTAACGAAATTTCAAAGCTTGCGTAATTTATTTTTCTAAAATATTGAAACCGTTTTTAAAAATCCAGCCGTTTAGCAACCTATCCCATTCAAGATCAAGTTTAAAATGGTAGTTTTCAATAAAACCCTCGCGCGCTTTTTCTTCTTCTCTGTTTAATGGTGACTTTTAGTTTTACTCAGGTTGGCCAGTTTTCCCTCTGATTTTTTTCCATTTTGACAGTCTTGAGCATCAATATTTGTAAGATTCATTTTTCTCATATCCGCCGCTATCACCTTTATCCATTTCATCTTGGGAGTTCCTCTAGATATTGATCCTCCTACTTCGATCATGGTGCATCTTTCCCAGTCATCTTTTATCTTACGTTCTACATGCCCAAACCATTTTAGTCTATTACTTCGCATTACCATTCCAATCACTTCTAATTCTTGGTCGCAATTCCTTATTAGTTTTTCTCTCCCTCAGGGATACCTCATACATCTATCTAATCATCCTCTCTGTTCTTTTCATGGGTTTCCCCCGCCGCAATAAACTAAACAACTCCTCGCACAGCTTATGTAATTTTCCCCTTTAACTTCAGAGAGACATTTTTATTTGTTAGAATAGACGACATTTCTCTGAACTTCTTCCATGCGTCTGACCCTGCAGCAACAGCAGAATCTACACCACCATCTACGTTTAACATATCACGCAAATAGCAAAACCTATCCACTTCTCCCACGGTTAACCCATTGCCAATATCCAAACTATCATTTTATAAGTTATTAGTATTATGTACCCCTTTTATGCACGTTCTATGAAAAAAGTCATTCTTGCTAACATCAGACTTCTCTTTTTCCCACTACATCTTTTATGCACCTATTTCTGGCATCTGGGACATTAGATTGAATTTCTAGTAACTCCTTTCCCATATACACCACATGGCCAGTTGCCGAATTCTTCTATCTTCAGATTAGCCCCACCAATCATCACCTTTGTCTTTACTAAATTCATTTTCAGGCCCTTTGCTTCCATAGCCATCTTCCATTTAATATTTTATCCCTCAATTCTTCCTCACTGTTTGCCATTAATACAAGGTCTTTTGCACATGATAGCACCTAGGAAGTCTTTCACGCATCTCTTTAGTCTCCACATTTATTAGATAAATAATAATGGACTCAGCAGGGATCCTTGATGAAGTCCTATTTTCACTTCAAAGCTTTTACTATCTCCATCATCCACCCCTACCGCAGTTTGTACTCCCACATACATTGTCATTACTGCCAGCGTCTAAATGGCAGAAAATTTGATAAAGGTAAATCCCCCTACAAAATCTTACCCAACTCCCTAAAATATTTCGCGGCCTTCCACCGCCATATTCGTCAAACCACGATGCTATAGTTATATTAATAAAAAAATCTTTTATAAGCTACCATTTATAATCTTATATCATTTATAATCTTATAATAAGCTACCATTCATAATCTTATAACAAAATTTTATTTCATCCTTTCAGGCCTATTTAGGTTAGAAAAAACAATTAAATCTCTAATTCTTGTTTATAATTAATCGGCAATTGAAAAGCTGTTTGGGCCACTCCATTGGGATTGATCATTGAATGAGAAGAAAATATAATCTGAAAATCTTCAATAACTTTGGATTGCTATTATTAAATAAAGGATATAGTTAAAATTTGTAAACCTATCGAAAATCTTAAAATTTTAAAAGATTTATTATATTCTTAATGAAATTTATTATTAAAATTTTTCTTGAAAATTAACAAATAAGAATAATATTAATATTTTACGTATAAAATTGTACAATATTATAGTAAAAAAATTAATAAGAAAGCTTAAAATTTAAAAATAAAAAATTTATAATTTTTTATTATTTGTTAATAGACAGATCAATCGTTTCAATCATTCAATTTAAAAAGAATATAATTCAAGTCAAAAACTACGCCCCCCCAATCTATACCTACCCCCAATTGCCTACCCTACCCCCTCAAAAAAATCTACCCACAAAAATATATAGGGGAAATGTACCATTAATGGCCATGTTTGAAGACTGGCCACCTCCCTTTAACTTTTTATCTATTGGACCAATATCTCTCAAAATTGGTCAAAATGTGTATATTTATGATATGTACCTTACCTAAGTTCATTTATTGAATATAGCAATTCAATAAAAAAAATATTTCAAATAAACTGTTTTTAGTACCTCTTTCTGGAAAAATCACCTTATACATTTTTTTGTTTGGTGAAAAAGTTACTAATTTAGATTACTGATATTTTATATAAATATTATCATTAGTCATTTAGCATTATTCACACAAAAAATTAGACTTTAAAAGCTTTATTTAATAGACATATAACGCGCTTAATAATAATAGAGATGTGGATATTGACTGGCCATGTATTGATTGGCCACAATTCGCACATTCACATATTCATATTAAAATGAAAAGCTCATGCAAAACAACATTTGGTGAAATAAAATGATGAACGAGATTAAGAATGTTTAGTAAAATGATAATTAAGAAATTAATTTGCAATATTATCATTAAATAGATGTGGTAATAAATTGAGATTTTAATACTAATTAAATTAGTTTATAATTAATTTTCTCTATAACTAAAAATGTAGAAATATCAATATAGTCTTTTACAAGTATTTCATATTGTGTTATTTTATATTTATAATAAAATTCTTAAATAATATATTATGGCACTTTCACATAATCTCATTTAGCTCATAAGATATTATACATAGAGCTTTGATTCAAATTTTATTATAAAGATTAATATTTAGGCTACATATTGATATAAAATTTGTTTGGTTAAACATAAATTTTAATACCTTTTTTTCAAAAAAGCAAAAACATGGCCATTCATGGCACATTTCCTACCTAACCCCCAAAATGGCAATATAATATTTGTTTCTTACCCACCCCCACCATGTAGACACTGAAACCAACTATTCTTCCAAACCTAATTCTCATGGCCCATCTAGTAACCTCGCATGGCACCCTGACAAATGCCTTTTTCAAATCAGCAAACGCATAATACAGTTTCTTTTCCTTTGCAAGATACTTCTCCTGTATTTGTCTACAAAAATTGCATCTGTTGTGCCTTTCCTCAGTTCATCAATTTTCGTTTGTTCCCTTTTCCGCTTCTCTAACATCCTCTCAAATACTTTCATTGCATGTTCCAAGAGTTTAATAGCTCTATAAGACCCGCAATCTAAAGTATCACCTTTCCCCTTGTACACTGGAATTTATACTTTTTCACCAATCCTCGGGGGATAGTTCTCTCTGTGATATTAAATTGGCTAAATTCATTAACCATTCAATCCTTAAGTCATCAGAACCTTTAAATATTTCGGATACCACTCTCGTTAAACTCGCTGCCTTATCTTTTCCATTGTTCTCTTACTGTACCTGATACCTTTGCACAACTAAGATCATTATCCCATTCATTCTCTTCGTTCAACCTTCCATGTAGATCTTCCAGGTGTTCTTAATATCTTAATACCGCTACTATCAATAACCATTTTTCCTTCCATGCTTTTCAAACATTTAACACCTACCACATCCTTCCTCTTTTTTGCAATCCTAGCCATATTTCTTATTCCTACGCGCATTCCATTTTTTAGCAAAGGGCTTTTCCTATTAATTTCTTCTCATTTCCTTTCGCCACCTTGTTAATATAGTTATCATTATTTTCTTTAGTATTATACCATTATTTGAAACACCTCCGTTTCTCGTCCACAGCTGCTACCTCCGGATTCCGCCACCATGTCATATGTCTAGGCAGCCCCTTTGTCCATCTACATACCTCCCCAGTTATCCTCACCCAGACTTTCATCATGACTTCCCACTTGTCACCCCCCCCCCCTCCCCAGATGCTTGTGTTACCTCCGCCTTTCTTATCGCTAATGTCATATAATTGACATCTAACACTCTCTCCTTCAATTTCTAAACCTTGTCTTGGCACAAACTTTCTTTAGTGATCCTGGTGCCTTTATATTCGGTACTGATCAATACAACAATCGGGATTCCCTTCCCGACATCATCCCTTTAGATGGTTTTGACACTCGTCGAGGAGACAGTGATCCTATTTTATACCCAGATCACAGGGAACCTTTTAAAACTCTATTAGCTGCCAAAAACGTTGCCACTGCCCGCCACGATTAGGCTGAAGGTAGGATTTTGGAAGGATTAATAAAATATTGATTAGTTTTTACTTAATAAATATTTATTTTCTATTCATCTAATTTCTTTCATATTTTAATCAAAGGTTTGAATACATCGTATACTGAGAGAGCATGTTTTAAAAACGACAAATCCAAAGAGGATGAGGAAGACAATAAAAGCTCCGAGAATTCTTCAATATTTACGGAACAAGGTTTGGCATATATTTTGTTATATAGATCACTTTAAAAACCATTTTCCTCATATATGCTATAATTTTTCTTAATTAAATTACAAATCATATTGTTTTTTAAAATATTTTATTTTAACACAATATTTCACATTGCATTTCCCAATGGTTTAAATATTTGGTAAGATGAAAAGAAGGACATGTATTTTTTATATAGAGATAAAATATTTTTAGATAATGATAGTTTGAGATCGGCCAGTCCTGGTTGTTATAAAAGACGGATGCGTAAACATTTTCCTCCATCTAGTAGCGAAGACTTGATGGAATTTTTGTCCAATTCCCACTACTCCAACGTCAATCATTCTTTAATGTACCTTATTTATAAATTTATGTTTGATGAATTATTTTTTATTTTGCTGTAATGTTATAGTATAATATATTATATAAAAAAGAAATATACCACTATTATTATTATTATAGAAGAACTGGAAGCGGTTCTTCCTCTTCCAGTAAATCTGTTGCCAATACGACTGCTCCATCTTTTCGTGAGTCGCAATCAATCGTCTCAAGTTTACACACCAGCGATAAGGACACTATATCATTACCAATAGTGGTCCGTGGACCACTTAGCAGAAGACTTACTAATCACCATCACTCCCATGGCCGTCAACTCAGCCTTCCCGAGCATCATAGGAGCAGAGGCATTATAAGTATTTCTGGGACAGGAGGCGAGATCGGTAGCGCCAGTGGCGTAGGGGCGGAATGGGTGCCATTGGGTGGCAGCGCTCAGAGGGATAGTGGTTTTATCGATCAAAACGGTCAAGACGATGATGAAGAGGAGGATGAAGGTGGGGACGTGTCGCGTGACGAGACCGTGGTGGACAGCCAGTCTCTAACAACCGAAGAAGTCGGTGAGTTTTTAGGACGTTATAACGGCTCTATATCCGAGCGTTTATTGGAACAATTAGTGAAAACAGAACAAATCGAACTGACCGAGCCTGAGCCTCTTATCAAAAGAGCAGAAAAGGTTTTTATCAAGGATAAATTTCCATTAAACATTGCTGACTCCAAAACAATATCAATGGGTAAAACGCCTGAATTCAAAGATTTTTACAAACAAGTTCTCCTCAACAAAGTGAACAGGGATCGTGAGGCTTTTTCGGACAAGCAGTCGCTTAAGATGGCCAATACTGCCGAATCAAAAGGGCTAGTTCCAGGATTAACGAAAAAACATTTTCAAAAATCAGCCGAAAAATCTTTTTTCCCAAAAGTTTCCTCTAAAAATGTCGTTTCTCGAACCGTAAAATCGGATGTTCCCATATTATCCAGTCTCACATCTAGCCGCGTCGGAAAACTGACGACATCAATAAGACCCCCTATACAACTATCAAAAAAGACCGAACTATATCGGTCTTCAGCTGCTAACATTAATCATGCCTTTGAGCTAAACAAAAGAGATCGTAATTTAAAAAAACATGATACCGTCAATATAACTTACGACCATGAAATTAAACACTCCCTACCTTACGATCGCCGTAAAACGGAAAGACTTGACATGCTTAAGGGATCCAAAACGACCCTAAAAATTTTCCCGGTTCCACCCGTTATCGAGTCCACAAACGCTATTCACTTGAAACCTCATGGACGATTAAATAATCGCCCTCTAACGAATACAAAAACGGGTAGAATAATGTCTACTTCTTTGAACTGTAAGCAGCACCGAAAAACGATCTCCGATTTCGATAGTCACGAAGTCGTAAAAACTCGGGTAATCGCGAGAACGGGTCTGTCATGCCCTGTCAAAGTGAAATAAATATGCTTATTCGTTTTTCTTACACAACAGAATTTTAATAATGATCAAAGAGTTTTCATCTTAATCATATTTATGATCTGAGCAAGATTAGTGATATCAACAGGTAGCTAAACTTGTATTTATCAAACAAAAAAAGTTAGAGAAATAGTTGCTGAATTTAAATCATTAACTAATTTTTTTGTAATTATTTTTAAACTATAATAAACTTAACAAGATCAAACGAATACTATATAAATGATCGTCATGTATACAGTTCGAAAGAATGAATCTTAACATAACTAATTTATTACTCGATGCCGTTATTCGTATTTAATTTAAACAATTATTTTTCCATATCAACCTTTTTATAAAATAAATAATTTTAAATGAAATTGCAGCCAACGATATTAAAGTTGCACTATACTTTCCTTCAAATTATTGACATTTAAAATAACACTAGCTCACCAAAGGACAATTCGGCGTATTTGAGAGCCTAGCGATATAACAATTATTGTTGAAATTCAAACTTTTTAAGAAATTTAAATTATATTTTCTATAATATTTATTATATTATTATATTTAAAAAATTATAACATTTTATATAAATTTTTAGATTTGTTATAATATACCATGATATTTTTGAAATATTAAAATTGTTATGAAAAAAAAAAATTGTTTCTTTAATCTTTAATAATCAATTTATTATAAATTACCTTTATATTATTATAAATTGTTATTAGTGAATGCCAAAATAAATTTGAATTTTTATGCCAAGTATCTATTAAAATTAATTTTATGAGAACATCGAGAATAAAATTTGTAGAAGCTTGGCATATTTTTGTGCCTGATTTAGCTCTTTTGGGGAGTGTAGGGGGAGGTTTTTAATACGTCCAATCACTCTTCTGGAGTTTGAACAATATTTTATAATATATTCTTAATTTATTTAATTTTAACTTCATCTATTATGGTTCTTAAATTCAAATATTGTTTTATAGTAATATTTTACTCAACAATGTGACTGTTTCAGTGGCGTATCCAAAAATTTTTTATAAGGGGGGGGGGGCCTCGCCCCCAAACCCCTTTACCTGGCCTTCGGCCAGCTTTTACCCTGCCTTCGGCCGGGTCTTATGTTTTAGCTATTCTATTAAATTATTCATAATTGAATAATAATTATATTTCTATTTTTAACTATTATTTATTAATTCGTGTTTATGGATAGTGCAAGTCTATTTTTTTATTATTTTAAGTTAGGTATATTATATTTAATAAAGTTTTTTTAAATGTAAAGTTGAAATAAAGTTTAATGTCATTTTTTTAATAAAATTTGCTTTAAAAACTAGCCTCAGCGTAAATTCTCATACAATATAAGTAGAATATAATTTTTTTATTGAAAATACTAATAGTAGTGTGTATAAAATATTGACTAGAAAAACAAGTTTTTTTAACTTCTTATCAAATACAATATTATACAAAATTTTTTATTAAATACTATAATTATAATGTGATTTTTAATTTTCGTGGGAATGTTGACAATTCATCAATAATTTCGTTTGTCGTTGGAACCAAATCTCTGTGGATATTTATCAGAGCTAACCCATTTAGCCGAGATTCGGAAGTAGTACTTCATAAATATGTTTTCAACCTTCTCAAATTGGAAAAAGTCCTTTTATTCGTACATGTTGTAATAGGCAAACATGCAAGAATATAAAACAATTTCAAAATATTAGGAAATTGAGCCAAGGTTTTTTTAAACCGATTGAGCGCATCAATAGCATGCTCAGGTAAAATAGCTAAAGGTAGTAAATATACCACAATTCGAATTCACTGATTAAATTTATTTCAGTATCAATATCATATGAATAAAATTTTGCTAAATATTTAATTTTACCAATAATGGCATTAGAAAACGAAGAAGGATCTTTGGGTAATAAAACTTGAAGATTGCTAAAGACTTGTTTTTATTTAAAAACCGTATTTTTATTTGCGATAAAAAAGTATCTAAGAATGGGATGAAAATGGATATTTTATAATATTCTTTAGTTGAGCCAATATTTATTTTACATCTCAATAATTGCCTAGGTGCTAGACGAGGTTTAATTAGTGTTATATCATAAAATTTAGCCTTCGATTCAACGTCTATAAAAATATTATGAAAATATTTATCTACATTCATTCTTATTGTATCTACCTGTTCATATATATTTTCCGCCAAATCAATAACCTGAAACAAATCTAAATTTAGTTTTTGTAAATTTCTACAAAGTAATGAGCTATAGGAAATTTATTGATGCAACTAGCAGCAATGATAAACTCTGATTGATCAATTGAATTCAATAATGATATCGCTTCTGACGACACATTACTTTTTTTCATGCTCAGCCTTATTTAATTTTTGTATTTCTATTTCTTTTGTTCTATAAAATGGAAGTAAAAATGAAAAATATTTAAAAAATTATAGACACTTATTAATTCTATCTCACTAATAATTTTGAATTTAATAAAATAATTATATATAATAATAAAATAAATTACCGTTTGATTTCAATCTCTTTGACTGAAAATTTTTCCATTTTATTAATATTTTTGAATAATGTTAATGTACTCACAAGGAAAGGAAATTTTAATAAAATTTATTTATAAAAACTAAGTTTCATGTTGGAAAATTGATATTCAAATTATTTGTAAAATTTTAATTGGGGGGGGGGGGGGGGGGGTGTAAATGCTATTTATGAAAAGAGTCAAATTTGCGATGGGGTTAGGGGGAATTTCCCCCTTTCCCCCCCATTGGTTAAGCGCCTGGACTATTTTTTATTGGACCTCAAAAAGGGTTGATAGTTTTTCTCAAAAGATAAGCTTCCCTAAAATAAACAAACGTTCTACAGGAGCACTTGATGTAAGTACCACATTATAATAAATCAGCAGTTTAAAACTTGTAAACAATATAAAGATAATGAGTTTCGGTTAGTCAATTCTGATTTTAGATAGGAAATTTTTGAAAAAAAATAATTATATTTAATATAGTGAGATATTTTAAAATATTTAAAATATTTTTAAAAGTAACTAGTTAATTTGTCGTTGCATTGACCAAAATATAACTAGTTACGGTTACTAGCTATTTAATAATATTTCTAAAGTAACTCTATATATGTAATATTATTTCAAAAATAACTAGTTAGGGGTAACTAAATTGGAATTCAAGGTATATTAAGATTATTTGCATAAATTGTTCACATGTGTATAATACCAACGAAAATCGATTTTCGATAGATTTTATTATATCAATTAAAATTAACCTAAAATTTTCTGAAATTCATAGGATAGGTACAATATTATTCCAACAAAATCAAATCCTTAATAAAAAATATTTGCTATAAATTATTTAAATCAAAATTCCTGTATGCACGATTTTAATAATAAAGATGACAATCTGGGACTTATATATAAAAGTGTTTCAACTATGCAGCTTTAACAGCCAAAGCCTAACCTCTCCATCAATCTATTTAAAAGCTAGAATATATATTTATCTATACTCTGAGAAAATTTTATTTTTTAAAATATAACAAATATTGTAAAAAAAATGAGACTTTTAACGTTTTGGTCCTCATTTTTGTGAATGAAGACTACCAATCTTTTTTTTTATTGATAAAAAGTGTATCTGAATTCGTTGATTGAGAGGTGTCTACACCTCCTGAATTATTTATTGCAATAACTTCAAAGATTGAAATGCTTCTCCCCAGTCTTTGTAAATAAAGTTCAATCCAAGAATGATAATTCATACCTGATAAATTCAGTTGATAAAATCTTGGTCAACTTGGAACTCTTATATGGCTCATTATTTTGTCACCCTATAAACTGTTTTTGACACCTTCGAAATCCTTTTCACCTTTAAAAATCTGTGAGCAATAGTACTTGCAAATATTAGAGAGACTTCATACCTTTCGTTTAAAAAAAATGGAAGCCGTTTACAGTTGCAATTTGTGAACGTGTGATAAAAGAAATGGCCTAAGTCTCAATCCCCATTACCCCTTTACTACAAAGGTGGAAAAAATCCCTTAACTACAAAGGTGGGGTCTATTTTACCCCAAAATTTTGAATATATATTAAAAAATTATTGGAGATAATAAATACAAAATCTTATAATAATAGTTACTTCTAAAAAAAAGTTATGCAAATTTTCCTAAAGTTGCTAAAATAAAAAAATTTTTCTGAAACCTTCCTCTAATTATAGTTTTATCAACAAAAAAATGCAAATTTTATTATATATTTTATTAAATCAATGTTGAATAAAGATAATTACATAAATTAAAAAAATATCAAATATTAATCATCAAATATCATGTAATTTTTTGTAATAACATTCACGACAAAATGTTTGCATATGATCTTTACAAATGAATTTTGAACAATTTAAAAAATAAATGTTGTTTTTACGTCCTTCACTCTTGGACAATCATAACATCTTCCCTTTTTATTTGATGGAATATGCTTTTCATCAATTATATTGAGAACATCCCCAATGTTGTCACGTAATATTTACATATACTAGGGTTCTAAGATCTGATGATCATATATGGAATTATCAGTTCCATTTCTAATAATTTTATAAATTTTTATATTCAATAAATTATTAGCTTTATAAACTATCAGTGCATATGTTATTGATATATTTACTACAGTATAAAAAATGGTCAATGGCCATCTATTGGATTTTCTGAATATATGGAGGATAGTTGATCAGTATTAACTCCAGTTTTTGTTAAATTATAAAACGTTATAATTTTTGGTTTTTTTAAACTCATCAATTGATGCATCAATTTTGTTATCATAATGTATTGTAGAAAGCAACACTATACTTATACTTTTTTGGTATGTATGAAATTACAGTTGTATTTTCTCTAAATGCAAATAAACTAAATATATCTCTTATCATCACTTGACTCACAATCTACATAAAATTCTATAAATATCAAATATTAAATAGACAATACTTCCAGAACTTGATGATATTAAATTTTCCATATGCATCTTTTATAGTATTTAGCTCCACAAGAAAAATAAATAGTATAAAATTTTAAAAATTTGGGTCACAATACAACAATGAAAAATACTAAAAAAAATTTTTCAATTTTATATATTAGTTTGTAATATACAATAATATTAATTTTAAAAAAATTTGAAAAATAAAATTTTGTAAGTACAAAGGTGGGACCTATAACTACCCCAAGCTCAACAAATTGCAAATATTTTAAAAAATATCAAATCAATTATCATGAAATTTGGTAGATATGTTCCTTATAACAAAATATTAAACTACTATAAAAACCAGGTCAAATTATCTTCAGGATTTTTAATTACCAAGATTATAAAAGCCTTGTGGTATTATTTACCCCTTGTAGATAAGGCTAACACTTTTTGTTTAAACTGAACTTTGAATATTACGCGAACCATTTTTCTCATCGATGGTAATAAGGTCTAGACATCTATAATCGGAAGGCCTAGTCATTATTTTTCTGGCTAAATTATTGACTTGATCGTTTTTAAAAATAGTCTCAAAACGAGCTATTTTCCAATATTATTTCGCTAT